AGACTTTTTTGTTTTTATTCGTTTGAATTTTAATTTTGCATAAAAAATCTATTTAATTTTAATGTTACATTTTGCATACTCTTTATCTTTTGTTATAAAAGTTATATTGTAGTTGCTCATCATAATAAACACTGCTGATGTGCGAGTTGTGATGCAGGCAGATGTTCCATTGTGCTGTCGCTGTCATGTATGTGGAATACTCATGCAGTCGTCACATACAAATTTGAATACTCAACATGGTTAAGGAGCACCATTGTGCTTTATTTCATTCATATCTTCTATTCAAAAAAGAAGAAAAAAATTTAAAAACTTTTCTTTCCAATGAGTTTTTAAACATTTCTTCAAAAATATACCCGCAAGTAATGTCCTTTATGCGAACTCGGTATCTTTTTTATGCTACTAAAATTATATGAGCGAAAATTCATCATGTCTGGCTTCAAAAACACACGTAATATATGTAAATAAGTGAAATTTCATGAAGAACTTTTTTTACTTAATTTTTATTTTAGTTACTGTTTAAGTAATTAAGTGAGGTAACCTTTTTTTATATAAAAATAGGTTTTTTATTGAGTAGTAAAATATACTGATGTTTACTCCTTTTAAGGCTTTTGTAAAATATTTTTTATTTTTAAATTAGGTATTAGCTTATGCTGGCAGGCCAAAGAAGCCACGCGTAGACCATTAAGGTTCATTGTGATACCAGATCAGAGCCTTAATTTTTTTTATTTTTTATTATTATTAAATAGTTTCATATTATTTTTTAAGCTTTGCAACATTTTCGAAGTTTTGTCGACTTTTAAGTCGTTTCATTTTTTTTATAAAAATATATTATGCTTAAAATATAAAAATAAATTTAAATAAATTTTAATGAGGATTTTCGAATAGTAGTGAATTGCAACAACAAAATTTTATCATTTCTAATTAATTGAATTTTCGACTAACTATATAGCTATTTCGAGTATTGCAAAATATCCATTATTAATGGACGTTTTGAAAATATTTTTTATATTATAATTATAAAAAAAGGTTGAAATTGTGCCCTGCTAAATTTAAAGCTTAAAGTCAGTGTTGATTAGCCAACTGACCTTAAGCCGTAATTGATTTGTATGTTTGACTTGGAGTTTTTTTAATCTGTTGTAAATTTGTATTAATAATTTCACTTGCTATGTTATATATTAGAATAAAATATAATCGGCTCTTTATTAAAACAATTGTTTCTAATAAGAAAATAGTTACTTTCGTCAAAACTGGCGTTAAAAATTAAATATAAAATAAAAATTGAATATAAAATAAAGTATTTACTTACATTTAGGCTTAAATTTGAATTTTATTTAATTTTTTTTATGTTCTATAATTTTTAAAATATTTGGTTTATAAAATTATTTTTGTAACTTAATTTATTTCATATTTAATTTTTATAATTTTTAATAAATTGTATCTTAAAGATAGTTCCTTTTAAATTTAAATAAAATACCTAATAAATATTGTTAATAGATTTCTTCTAAACTTCTTAGATTAACAAGATTAAACTGTTATTATAAATATTATCTAACAATTTATTAGCGGGCTAATTGGTCATTTAAATAGAAATAATAAATTATAGTTTTTTTTATTTCTATTTAAATTACCAATTAGCTTGATGTTAAATTATTATATAATATTTATATAGAGTTTAATCTTGTTAATCTAAGAAGTTTAGAAGAAGTCTATTAACTAACAGTATTTATTAAGTTTTTTTTTTATATTTAAAATGCAACTATCTTTAAGATATATATTTGGTCACAAATGAAAGTATAAAATATTTTTATAAATATCTACAATATAATATGTATTTATATATATATATATAATATATAATATATATAAAAACTAACTATTTGCATTCGTCTTCAGTAATAACAAAATTTTAAGATGGTCGACAAAACCGAAATATAAAAATATCTACCGAAAAATCTATATAAAACTGTATATAAAATTAAATAAAATTAAATATTAAAATATGTGTTCTATTTTTTTTTTTTTAATTATTTAAAATTTATTTAAACAAAAAAAAAAACAATCTTAAGTCTAACAAAAAAAGCAAATATATAAAACAATTCATATTTAATAATAATATTTGGAAAAAATATTTTAATTTTTTTTTTTAGTATTTTTAAAAATATGTAGGTTCATTATTTATAAAATGTTTTTTATTTTTTTTACTATTTATTACTCTTATATCTGCTATATTCAAATTGTTTATTTACTATAAAATAATTTAATATTTTTTTTATTACTTAAATTTATAGTGTATTTATATTATTGTTTATTATAACATTTTTTATATTATTCTTATAATATAATAAAAAGTACATATATTTAAAAAAATTTTTTTATAAACCTTTTTTTTATATCCAAAATGATTTTTATTACTTTATCGATTATATCAATTTTTAGTGTATATTTTTTTATTGAATATTTTATTGATTAATTTAATATTTTTTTGTTGTATTTATAATATACCAAAAAGGCATATATTAATATTTTTTTTTAATAATTTTTCAAGAATATTTAAAATTCATTTAAAATATTCAAGCTTTTTTCTTCTCATAAATGATTGATTCGAGGAAAGACATACATTGCTGACGGGCTTTTATGCAGTTTTTATCTGGTGCCAAAAACATTTTGACACTCCAAATATCCATTTTTATCCATAATTTTCTTTCCCTTTTTTATATTTCGTTTAAAATTATTTTATGTGCTTAACTTTTTACGCAGCATCACGATTTATCTTGGAATGCTCGCAGGAGTCTTTGGATGCGTGTCAGTAATGTGTCACATTATAAAAACATCACTTTATTGCACTTTCTTTACTCGAAGCAATGATATAATAAAATTCATACTTTGTAAAACATTTTGAAATATTTTTAAAATAATACTTATGTATTTTATAAATTTGCTTTTTTAAAGGATATATATTTTTTTTATATTTGCTCTCTGTTGAAATGTGTTTATATTGTAGATAATCATAATGCAAAATTTGATTTTATTGTTTTTTTAAATTATTAAATAATAATTTGGAAAATTACTTTTATTGAAGACATGGATATTCAATCATTTTAAAACAATAAATGCCTTTTTATTTAATTTAACAAATAAGCAAGTATACAAACATGACATAAATTTGATTTCTAATATTATTATAATTTTATAACCCCTCTCCACGCCTTGACTGGATTATTGTTCAGACTAAGCAATAATTGACCTCAGATCTGCATACCTCCC